GGCAAATTTTAGATAATGTTTGCTATGGAGCACAATTAAATCAAACCCTAGCTATTCTATTTAATTTAGGTTATTAGTTTGCTATTTTATACAATTTTTCCATCAAATATTCTCTTATAGAAATGGGCTTTTCCCAATTTCAAAAGACTAATAAAAATTGGGCCTCTTGTTTTGACCCAAATAATAAGCCCATAATCCTTTTCTTCTCTCGCAAAAACCCTAATTTTGTTCTTCAAATTTCACTCTGTAGTGCTCTGTACTTGCAAAAAAAATAAAAAATAAAAAATTCACAGTTCACCGCTCGTCGACGCATTTGCAGAAGCAGAGCCACCATGGTTGCCGCCAAGAAAACTGTAAAAGATTCTCTATCTATCTACCTATTTATCTCTATATTTTTGTTGGTTTATACTGAAAACAAGAAAATGCAGTTTTTTTTTGAGTTTTGGGATTTGGGGTGTTGATTTGTGGTTCTATTGATTTGAGTAGATCTTTTTTGAATGCAGAAGAAGACCCATGAGAGCATTAACAATAGGCTTGCTCTAGTTATGAAGAGCGGCAAGTATACTTTGGGTTATAAGACTGTTCTTAAGACTCTTAGAAACTCCAAAGGTTAGTTTTCAGCTCAGCTCAAATTGATTTTTTTGCTTTTATTGGAATTAATTTTGTGGGTTGTTATTTTTATTGAATATTATTGCTTGTTTAGTTCTGTATCTGGTAAATGTAAGTTAAAAAATTGATCTTTAGCATATTATTTTGCATAGTTGTTGATGGTCTAAATGGTTTTTTGTTTTGAATATATTTGTTGGTTGTTTTAAGGAGAATTGAAAACGAAAAAGCCTTAGTTTCATACAATATCGTAATTGAATTATATGGAATGATCTATAAAGTAAGTTCAATTATATATCTAGAGTCTAGGCATAGCAAAGCTATAGCTAAATCCAAAGTGTTGCACCTGGCAAATATATGTTAATGCTTGGTTAAAGTGGTGATAAAAGCTGATCTTTTGCAGGTTTTCTGCATAGTATTTGATGGTTTAATATGGGTTTTGTTTGGAATACTTTGTTGTTTGTTGTGTTTGTTTCATTTCATTATATGTCAAGTTCTGTAGCTGGTAAATATATGTCAATGTTTGATTAATGTAGTATTCGAAGCTGATTATTAGCGGATCATTATGCATAGTTGTTGATGGTCATTCAAGGTTTATGTATGCTTTTTATTGTATGTCAATCTATGAGGCTAGTAAATGTTTGATTAAAGTAGTGCCGAAAGCTGATCTTTATCAGCTTGTTATTCATAGTTGTAGATCTCTAATACGGGTTTTTGTTTGTATTTCATTTTATGTCAAGCTATGCAGCTGGTTAATATATGTTAATGTTTGGTTGAATCAGTGTTATCTTTAGCAGATTATCATGCATAGCTCTAGTCAAGTATGTGTGGAACATATTAGTTGGTTGTTTATGTTCTTTTAATTTTTTGCCAAGATTTGCAGCTGGTAAATATATGTTAATGTTTGATTTATGCAGTGTTATTAGCTAATCTTTAGTAGATTATTGTGCATTGTCTAAGGTGGTTAAGTATGAGGTTTGTTTGACAATTAAATAGGTTTAGATGCCATGTATTTCAATTTCTTTCTGGTGGTAGTTCAAAACTTTCTTTGGCTGTAAGAAGCTATGAGGTTGATGTTTATTGAGAAAATGTAATTTTGTGGCCATGTCCATTTTGGTTGAATAATGAGAATTATGGTGCTAGTATATATATATCTGTAGAAGACTAGTATTTTCGGCATTGTAAAAGATTGATTCTTTTATTAATTGATTGGGAAAATGGTTGTTAGTTGATTATGGATTTGTTCTTTGATCTTTACGAGAGAGTTGTTTTTACTTGTGATGTAACATGGGTTTCTAAATTTTTCTTCCAAATTACAGGAAAGCTTATTATCATTGCCAACAACTGCCCTCCTCTCAGGAAGTCTGAGATTGAGTATTATGCTATGTTGGCAAAGGTTGGAGTCCACCACTACAACGGAAGTAAGTGAATATCTTTGTGTGTATAGACAGTAATATAGATGTTTGAACTTCTTTTTGGTGCTTTTGAAATGTTTTTAAATATTGTTTGCTGTTTTGACTGCTTGCGAATGAAAATATATATATCTTCCTTTCGTTTGGTTCGGACATGAATTATGTAACTTTGCTAGGAGTGCTGAAGTTCCTTCTGATGACTGCTTGTTTTAAAAACCAAATGCCTCGTAATGTCATTGATTATATTAGATTTTTAGGAAGCTTAGTTCCTAAGTTTTAGTGTAGTTGGATCAATTGTATGGAACTATTAACAGAGCCGTGAATCTTTGGTATCTATCGTGTGAAGAATTAGTTGTCAACTGCCCTAGGTCTTTTCGTTCAGTAGCAAGGACACGTCAAATAATCTGTGTTAAGGCACGTCAAAATGTTTGAACTCTATATACAAACTCCTTTTCTGGTTGCTGATGTATTTTCTACCCACGGCCTATCAGTATACCTCTTATTCAACGTACGTGATGATCTTTAGATTGGTAGTATCATACAAGTCTCTGAAATTATATTCTGACATATATACGTCTTGTTTCAGACAATGTAGACTTGGGGACGGCTTGTGGTAAATACTACAGGGTCTGTTGCCTCAGCATCATTGATCCAGGTGAATTTCTCGCCCCGACTCGATTTACTGCTGGTTGAATATCCTTCAAAATATTTTCCTGATTTTAATGTTTTTTTTTTCAATCTTCAGGTGATTCTGATATCATTAAGAGCATGCCTGGTGACCAGTGAGGCTTGCAATTCTGAATCTTGGAAAATTGTTCATTTTGTTTTTCTTTTTTCCTATGAGAAGAATAGCTAGTGTAGATGATAATTCTACTTTATTTGTGATGACTGTCAAGATAATTTTGATGGTATTGGAATTATTTTTTCTGTCTTTGAGCTAGTAATTTTACTTTTTATGAACAACCTCTAAATTTGGCTGGTCAAAATCTTTGTTGGAGTTTAAGTTTGCAAAATTGTTTTTGTTAAGCTTTGGGTCTTTCGGAAACAACCTTTTTATCTCGGAGAGGTTATCGTAATGCCTATGTACCATCTCCGAACAAAAGTATGTGAGATTTTATTGGGCATATTGTTATTGCATGTAAAATCGTATCGTATAATTTTTCGATAAAGAAGTTGTGCTTTCAAATATTTAATTGAGGGATTGATGTTTTTCTCTATTTTGTGTAAAGCATTTTACATTCATAGTATTGATTTAAACAAGTTAATTTCTCACATGAAAAGTAAGACTTTTCTATTTTAATACTGAATAAATTACTACTAAATTATTCTAATAATAATATTAAAAAATATTTTAAAAAAATTATATGATGTTTGACGATATATAATGTGGTGACTTATGAAGATTGTTGCTCGTTGTGCTAATGGTGATTAATGCTATTTGTGATTGTGGTTGAGAATGTTAGTTGTGACATCAACGACAGTAGTCGATAATAATGAAAGTGGTGAATGGTGGAAGTATATATAATCTCAAGATTTTATTATAGATGTTATCATTCACATTTATTTAGATTGATGAGGTGAAACATATTTAATAATTAAGATTCGAATAATTAAGATTTGGACTTAAATAACAAATGAACTTAATAACCATATCAAAATATTAAGGTTCAATTCTTTATTAGACTCGAACAAATAAGATCAAATTTAGCTTCACGCCAATTCACAAGACGATTAATTAAATTCTGAGTTGATTCATCACCTTGACTAATTTGACTTGACACCAATTCACTTGTCGATTAATTACGTTTCGTGTTGATTCGTTAACCTGACTAATTTGGCTTCACGTCAATTCACTGATCGATGAATTATGTTGCGTGTTGATTCATTAACTTTACTAATTTGGCTTCACGACAATTCGACTAACTTTCGGTGAGTCGGTGAAGAAGACCCCAGAAATGTTCATCTATTAAAAGAGCTATTATATCTCCATCTACGAAAGAGCTTTGAATCCTTTTACTATGTGACATTTTCAAGAGCTTTCAAAAAATTTTAATATAAATTTTACTTTGTCAATATAAAGAATACAAAAAAATATCAAATTTTAAATTTAAACTCGTGTTTATCCATTGACTCGATTGATTTAAATTTACATTAATTCACATATATATTCAAAATGACTCATTTGTACAAATATTTTTTTTCTGGGGTGATTTTTAATTTTATCTTCAAATTAGACGATTATTGAGTTTATTCTTAACAACTTAAGTTAAAATAACATATAAGAAATTTCATAAGTTACGTCGTAAATGGTATAACTTAGTTTGTGTAAAACTTATCTTGATAAAGGCTACAAACAAGACAAAAATTCTCTAAATTTATTCGATTATAAAATACTACATAACTTAATCTCTGTAGAAGTTATATCGAACAACATGTAAGTTTAATTACTGAATTAATTCATAGTAAAAGTATTTTCGTCTATAATTTTTTCTTGAATGATAGCCAAATCAAAAATTTATGACCAACGATAAAATTCAGGTTCTATCGTCGGACCTTTTCGAACCTAAAATAGGAGAGGAGCATTCGATCACTTGATATCAAACCTAAAATAGGAGAGAAGCATTCGATCACTTGATATTAAATTTTAACAATATTCATTCCAGACTAATTCGACCAAGGTATTAATTAAGATAAAATCCATTTATCATAAAAATAAAAAAAGAATTTAAAATATTTATATTTTCATATTTAAAACTCAAACTTGAAACTCGACCGAGCATTTTGGTCACCTTCTTCCTTCGAACCCCATTTGTCTTTCACCTCGATTTAACTCTACTCCACTCTGCTCAAAAACTTCAAAATCAATGGCGAAAACTCGGAAAATCTCGCTTCGAAATCAAAATCAAACCCAAAATGTGCAATTTATAGTCGGAGAAACCAAATGGAAGATGAAATTATCTTCCAAACGAGCCAAAAATAGTCCTATTTCGTACAGAAAAATATCAGCTATGAAGGTTACTGCTATGTTTTCTTTGATCTTTTTATGTTTTCAGAATTTGGGTATTAACTAGAAATTTAGGTCATACTGTAATTTTTATTATTTTGGGTTATTTCAGATTGTTCCCTTTTTTTTTTTGTATGTCATTCTTGAACTATGATGAATTGAGGTTTCAAAATTGTTATGCTAGTGATTTTTTATATGTTTTATAGTAGAGGGTCCGTACCCCACTCGTAGAATTACACTCGTTATGTTGTTGTTATTGTTATAAAGTTAAGTAACAAACACTAGAAGTTCTAATTACTAGAGAGAAAAAGATTGAAGCTTTATTGGTTGGATAATACTAATGTGACATATCTATGCTATATTATCATATATGAATGTTATTACTATGTTTTCTTTATATCTTTACATTGGAATTTTGATATGTATCTTTGTGGTTGGATAATTTTAACGGAAACAGCCTCTTTACCTCCCAAGGTTGGGATAAGGTTTATGTACACGCCATCTTCCGGAGACCTCACTAGTGGGATTAGACTGGCTATGTTGTTGAGAATTTTGGGTAATGCTAGTATATTTTTTCGGGGAGTTGCAGACTATTCCCCGTTTTGATATTTAAGTTTCTGGAACTCCGATGGTTTTTGGTTTCAACGGACTGTAGAAGCTAAAATTACAAGAGCGACAATCTAGTGTGACATCTCTAAGCTGTATATTTATCGTTTTTTTCTTTTTTGGGATTCTTAGTATGTGTTTGGACATCTTAGTTAAAGTTGAAAAAGAGGATTTTTTTGAACTTGAATAATGGTGTCGAGAGGTTGAAGATGTGTTTTGACATGCATTTCACTTGAAAAAAGTTGTGAGTGGGGAAAATTTTTCACTTGGAAACTAATTAAAAGATCATATTGATTTTTTTGTCTCTGAAGCTTAGCATTTCGATTTGTTCTCACTGTTTGAATATTTGAGTATTAGTTAGAATTTGGGCCATGCTGATGCCGTAGTTTCTTGGGAGTTACAGATAATACACATCTTCGTATTTCAGTTCTAGAGCTCCGATAAATGGGGTTTTGCTATGCTAGTGAAAAGAATACCCGGCAGAAACTGGAAGTTCAATCCAGTTGAAAAGGGTAAACCAAGAAAAAGAGAACATAACTTCAATCTGCATTTCTGATTTCTATTGAGGAATTAGTTACTCATTAGATGATGACTGTTTGTTCAAAGTGGCTAAGATTTTTTCCCTTATCATTTTTGTTGGACTTCATTCTCAAACTTGTAAGCTTTTGGTATTTCAAGATGTATCTGAGTAGTAGAACTGTTATGAATTGAACAATCCTAGGATGATATTTACTTCATATTATAGAGGATTTTTTTTTTTGATGAAGTAATTAGTTCTATTGCAGGCATCAAGTAGATGCATAATAGTTACAAAAGCGTAGTAGCAAAAGGTCAGCTCTCCTTTACATTGTTAATTAAGAGTCAGGGAGCTGACAAAGTTCAGAAATGAATCAAGAGAATCTAGAGGGGATAAATAAACCCAACTATACAAAAACATGAGGTAGTTAGCTTTTTAAGATTGGTAGGTAGTTGATATTCCGTCAAAGCATCTTCTATTCCTTTCGTTCCAGATACTCCAAAAAATGGCTGCAGGTATCATCTTCCAGATTCTCTTGATGGTGCTATCAACTTTCCAGCAACTCCAACTTATCACAACATTCATGATATTCTGATTTCTGAGGCATGACCCGTTTGAGACCAAAAAGAGCTGAAAACATATTCCACAAGTCTGCTGCTATTTGACATTGTAGAAATAGGTGGTTGTGTGTTTCTGCTTCCTTCATTCACATACCATCTGGTAGCACATATATTATTAAGATTTGTCCTCCTAACTTATCACTTTCAAGAAAGTAATGCTTTTTAGATACAGTACACGCATTATGCCTGGAACCCTGACTTCAAATTTTTTTTGTGGATATTTTTTGTTACCATGGAGTACCATTTGACTAGTGAATCATGAATTGGTTCATCCACATGAACACAATGCACTAGCAATTTTTCATGTCAAAATGAAGCCATTTAAACACTTGCCCCCCTTTCCCCAACAAACGAAGAAAAAGGAGACAAATGGAATAATGGGGATAAGTAGTGGTATAGTGGAGATAAGATTATGAGAATACTGGAATGATTCTTTTCTTATGACTTAGTTTCCATAAAAAAATTAAAGTAATAGCATATATTTTACAAACATATGGCTATTGGGAGATTGTATTAAGTGTTTGTTTAGTTGTAATACAAAGGATCAGATTATGATTCCTGCCTTAGGATGATAGTCTGCAAATCGAAGCCTGTAGAAGGAAAATTTCGGAAATGAACCCTTCCTAGATGTACCCCAAGAGTTTTATGTTTTACTCAACTTAATAATGCTGCCATCTCATTTATTTGGTGATGAGAGGGAAACACTTATCTTGGAACTTCTACTACTAAAACTCAAATGAAAGATAATTGAAGAACAGATTTGTCTTTTGGTTTCTCTTATTACTGAGGTAAGTCATTCTAACTTCTATGGGCTTGTATGTCAGCCCTAGACTATTCTGGACCTCTAAATTTATCCTTTGCGCACTTTTTATTTCGGAGGTTAAGATTGCTGGGGAACTAGTAGAATTTCTTGGCATTTGATCATATTCAAGTTTGTCATCTGCGATTAATTTAAAAATTGAAAAAGGATTTACAATTTGCTAGCTTCTACTTGGTGCATTATGTGGTGTTCATTTGATAACTGCTCATCTTTGATGTTTTTACAACATTGTTCTTCCACAAGAAACTTTGTGGAAGTTATTCACCTTTTCGATTTTTTTCAAATTACTTGAAAATATTGTCTCTCCGGTGAGCCAAATCTTTAAGTATTTTAGTTGTTAAACACGGGAACTATGTTATGCCAAAGATAGTAAGATTCTGTAGATTGATGCTTTTGTTGACTGTGGTGTGGAGCATTTCGTTCGAATTTTATGTCAAAACATTTCAAATTGAATTTTTTGGTACACCATTTGTGTAACTGGATGCCTTTGTTTTACTTTATGAGGTGCAAGGCAAAAGTCTGATTTAGGATTATAAGTTAGTGGGTACAAAGTATCATGAACTGCTCCTTTGTGCCCATGGGTGCAAACTTATTATTAATACATATCTTCTAATGTTTTTTAGCTGTATAGTATGAGCGATAGTAGAGAATGTGCATATGGCATGGTTGCATCCTCTAGTGCCAGTCTGTAGATCTGTTTCAGATATCCTCTTGATTGGTCTCTAGCAAATATAGAAAGATATGCTTCATTGCTGTAGTTATAGACTTGTAGTTCAGCTTATGCGTAATTTTCATTCATGGGTCTTATAATATTCTTTTGATACGGAATGCAGCGTCTTTTAATGTAATCTTCTTTTAATTACAAAAGTTAAAAAAAAGGGGACGAGATCTCTTTATTATATATACTTTTTGGACCCGATGTAGTAGGGACTTGTAGATCCTATTCCTAATATAGAAATATCTGGTCAAATTCTTACTATTTTGCTCATCTTGAATATCCCTTGTCATATTCTTTTTTACCTTCCCAGAGTTAGCTCATTAATCAGACATTTACTGTTTGCTTGCTTTAAATGATTAACGATTTTAAAAACAAATATAAAGTGTCTAAATAAAGGAACAACAGGCACTAGATTAATTTTTCTCCACAAAGTAATTTTGCTGTATTAATCTTGGTTAGTTAGTCAGTGACCGTTTCAAAAGTCTTATATATGTGTGAACATTTGTTGCTTTCCTCCATGTTGATGTGCACCTTAACATCTAGATCAAAAAATCGTTGCGGTCATTCTGTTTGAGTGTGCCACCTGCCTGTTACCTTTAATAGTCACTCACTACTGTAGTTAAAATTAACAACAACAATATACCTAGTAAAATCACATAGAGTGGGAGGTTAGAGTGTATCCAGTTACCATACCTCTTGGAGGTACACTATAGTTAAATTAATAGCTGATTAATGAAGTAGGAGTCTTGTGCCATTTTTGTTAACCAAGTGTCAAGGGCTACATAAAATTATATAAGATGCACCAAATATTTATGTTGGTCTTTGTCATATATGGAAGTTGTCCATTTTGGGAGAACTCTTCAGAAACTACCCTTTCGTGTCAAACCTTTCATCGTGTAGATCCAACAAAATGAGCCTCAACCGAACATGCAATAGCTCCTTCTGGACTAAGGAGGAAGACAAAGCATTTGAGAATGCTTTGGCTTTATTTTCTGGAGATAGTGATAAATTTCTGAAGATCGCTGCTGCTGTTCCTGGGAAATCTCTTCAAGAAATTATCGATCATTATAATGTATTAGTGGAAGATGTTAATGACATAGAGTCTGGCAAAGTTCCGCTACCTAAATATGAGAGAATGCGAAGTTCTTCTAGCCGCAGAAGGAGATCATCGGGAGCAGGGGTAGAACGGCGAAAAGGGGTTCCTTGGACTGAAGAGGAACACAGGTGAGGGTTTTCCTGTATATTTTGTAATTACCATGTTAGTTTGGTTTGACACATCTGACTAAATTGATGACTAATTGATCTCTTCAATCATGAGTTTCTTGATAGTTGAACAAGTTTTAGTGTTTACAGAAAGGATTTAAAAGTTGCTTCTTTAAGAATTTCTTTGCAACAAAATGCTTCTTTTTCCTGTGATTTTTTAGATTGACAGCAAATCTGTTTATTTGGACCAAAAAATTGACAGAAGCTGTGTTATTCTTTGTCGTAACTAAAATCATTTCTATTTTTATATCATGTTTAAATGTAGAGTAGATTTTTAGTTGATCTGGTGTGAAATTTTTGAATTAGAATATGCCACTCAGAAAATTTGCAGAAATTTGGTGTCTGAAAATATGAAAGAAAACCCCTCTGCTTTGTTAGTAATTTCTTCAATTCTGATTGAGTTCCTTGTTCTCAAGAAAAATTAAGTACAGTGCTTTTTTTTTCTCTATAAGTTTGTCTTTTTCATAGAAGAGTGGAGTACAGCTTGATATCAGTTTTGTAACGTAAGTCACTGCGTCATCGGTATAATTGTTACTCGTAAACAGCTGAATGACTATTATATATGGACAAGGTACTGTAGACATCAGACTTGTAAAGGCTTCAATCTAACTCGTGCTGGAAACACTTGTGAATTTATTGTTGACGAACAGTGATGTGAACAGTATAGGTATATCACCACCAAACTTAGTTCATTTTTAACTAAAGACCTCTAGTTTCCTCTTTAGCACCTTATGAATTTTGAATACCATGTGTAGGCCGAAGAGGCTGTCAGATGCTGTCAATAAATGATTGCATTAAATAGACTAGAGAAAATTTGTGTATTGGAAAAACTTTCCAGCTTACAATACTTATATTTATCTTTCCTTTCTTGGTATGTTTTTTCATATCCTTCAATATGTGGGGTTTGTTGTTCTTCTATTCCATTTTTCCCAAGATAAGAGAAATATATCCTTCTACAATTTGAGTAGGATTGAATAGCGATGGAGTATTGCAACAACGAATGATTTGGTGAGTGAGGAGATGATTCTATAGATATTTCTTCTTGATAAGTGGGACGATCCTATAAACATCAAAGTATCATCCAATGCACGGAACCTTACTAGTCTACAATAGATTGTATTGTTTTGCTTGGTGCAGGTGATCAGTACTCAGTAGTGATAAAGGACTGCTGAAATAACACCGAACTTGGCAATTCGAACTTAATTAGATGTGCACATTGTATACAGATGGAGGAAAAGATGTCTATAATTTAATGATTGTGATTAGAATTTCAAAGATGCATAAAATTGTACTATTTGAGAGAATGCATTAGTTTCAAGCAGATATTGTCTTGAATGGATTAAATTCCCAAGCTAGCAACTTCTTAATCTTCTTTCCTTTCTTAGGTCATTTCTCCAGGGGTTGGCAAAACACGGAAAGGGTGATTGGCGGGGTATATCAAGGAACTTTGTGTTTTCTAGAACACCAACACAGGTGGCAAGCCATGCCCAGAAGTACTACAGTCGATTAAATGGCAATAACACAAATAGGAGAAACAGCATTCATGATGTCAGTAGTGTGGGTGCTGCTAATATTACTGAACCTTCACAACAAAAATCTGACGAGTTGACAGGACCTTGTGGAGGACAATCGCAGTTGCCAATTGCCGACTATGTGACTGAAGCTTTTGAAGCAGGCATGCTATCTTTACCAGGGCCAGTTACAAACTGCACGACTGATGCTTTTGAAGGACCATCAGCTGTTAACCCCGAGAAATTCCCGCTTGGTGCTGCTCTTGGTAGTGACTTGAATAGCTCATTTCCCCGCGTGGATGAGTTCCTGCAAAGTGTAGAAGACCTAATCATCGTACCAGCAGAAGGCACCTCTGGAGTATGCTGTGAGGTTGACTCTAGGACATCTCCATCACTTAGCATGCAACCATCAGTTACTGGTGGAACCGGAATGTACACTCATCCAGTTTCATTTCCCGACGTGCATGAGTTCCTGCAAGGTGTAGAAAACCTAATCACTGTACCGGGAGAGGGTGCCTCTGGAGCAAACCGTGGGATTGACAGTAGGATATCTCCATCACTTAGCTTGCAACCATCAGTTGCTGGTGGCACCAGAATGTACCCTCATCCAGTCAATGTACCGGCAGAGGGAACCTCTGGAGTGAGCCATGGAGTTGACACTAGGACATCTCCATCAATTAGCTTGCAACCATCAGTTGTTGGTGGCACCAGAATGTACCCTCATCCAGTCAATGTACCGGCAGAGGGCATCTCTGGAGCGAGCCATGGGATTGGCGCTAGGACATCTCCATCACTTAGCTTGCAACCATCAGTTGTTGGTGGCACCAGAATGTACCCTCATCCAGTCAATGTACCGGCAGAGTGCATCTCTGGAGCGAGCCATGGGGTTGACACTAGGACATCTCCATTACTTAACTTGCAACCATCAGTTGTTGGTGGCAGCAGAATGTACACTCATCCAATCATCGTACCGGCAGAGGGCACCTCTGGAGCGAGGCGTGGGGTTGACACTAGGACATCTCCATCACTTGGCTTGCAACCATCAGTTGGTGGTGGCACCGGAATGTACACTCATGCTGTCAATAATGTTAGGTATGATCTGGAAGAGCTAATGACCAAGCAGTTGGTTGGAGCTAGTCAAGTAGGTCCTACCATTAACACTGCAAGTTTGCCATCACCAATTGCTGATCATATTGGAGTCCGTGGTTGTACAACTTCTAGCAGTGCCGCTAGGAATGATTTTGCGAGTACCATGGAAGCTCCTGGGGAAGGTTTTTCTGTTGATTCCATGCAGATGCCATCAATTCCTGACCATATTGGAGGTGGAACTTACCCATGTTGGGAACCTAGCAGCAAGGAAGACAGTATCTTTGATCTGGAAGACCTATACACAGATCACATGTTTGGGTTTCACAAGTAAGAATCTGTCATTTATAGTGATAAACTATAACGTGTCCATGGTTTCACTAGAACAACCACTGCTTTGTTTCAGATGAGCCAATGCAGCCGAGGCCTATTACTTCACAAACTCTCATTCCATTACGCGTTCCTTGCCCAGCTTGTTCATTTGCAGCATCTTCTATTGCTCCTTCCTATCGTCATGTCCTTCTAGAGACGTCTCTCTTAACATATCCAGTACTGGTTCTATTTGTGTATGTAGTGTATGGCATAACAAACTTTATCAGTAGCTTATGTACATAGAACTACTCCCCATCCCCCCCTACCCCTACCCCCACCCCCACCCCCACCCCCATTTCCCTTTCTGTCATATGGTGTACTAGCATGTCTTTAAACTCTTTGTTCATAATAAAATGGCATGCTTTTAGTAGTTTTGAATTTTATTTTCTGTCTACTTAGAAAATTTTCTTAGTTTGTGTAGCTTCCCTTCCCTATTTTGTGTCTTATCCAAGTTAATATGTGAGGTGAGAATGATATGATAAATGATTTTTTTTTTTGATTTGCTTTTTAATTATTTTGATCAATCTATTTCAATTTGTTTAGTTGGATACATTCCCTGTACTTTAAAATCAAATACTTGTTAATTATTGTAGGAGTTATTATAAATATATTAGGTTTTTGGTGTTTGATATTGTGATACAAAAAAGATAAACCATAATGAATTATTTGATTTTCAGATACAAGTGTCACATTTTTAATAAAATAGTTTTGAGGGGTATTCAAAATAATGCGCTCTAGTATATAGTTAAATCGTTATCTTAATTTAATCAAATATCGTCATATAAAAAAAGAGATGGAAGATTTATAAAAATTATTGACATTTAGAGAGGAAATATCAAATGATTAACAATGTTAGATAAGATTTTTGAAAAAATAATTAGTAATAACTCTTATGTGAACTAAGTTCTAATAAATAAGTGAATATTTAGAACTTTCATACACTATTAACTTTCTTTGATTTCAATAGTATTAGCATGTTAGGTACCTAATTATTGTTAATTACTTTTTCTTTGGTCCTTCACGATAGTCATAGGGTCTACGTATATTTTGTTTTCTTGAAATCTCACTTGATGGAATTTCAAGGTACGTTATTAATTAAAAAAAAATGAATTTCGCTTGTGCAAGCTTGCTGATATTAACAATCTCAAATCTTATTTGGAAATATGAGTTACGGTAAATTAACAACTAACACAAAATTAATCAATTTATGATGAATCCTTAACATACATAGATCATAAAATTTAATGGAGCTACATTACATACGGGGAAACTAATTTATTTGGTTTAAAATTAAATTATTATTGAAAATTAGATATATCTTTTTCTCAGCGGCTTTTATATTTTTCGCCAACTGTTTTTGCCCTTTTCTGCCAACTGCTTCTGTTGTTTTTCTAATTGCACGAGTAATTTCAGGTGCGCAAGCTTGTTCGTGTTGACAATCTCAAATCTTGTTGAAAAATGTGAGTTGCTGTAAATTAACAACTACCACAAAATTAATCAAATTTATTTCTTCCTTTTTTTTTCTTTCCTCTATTTTTGTATTTTCTCTTTTCTTTTCTCCACTTTTCCTTTTAAAGACAAAAATAAAATACAAAGATACAAATATTAGTAAATTATTTTCATACTAATAAAAACATAAAGTTAAATAATTAGATTATAAAAAGAATTAATAATAAAGATACTAAGGTTACAAGCTTATTTGTCAAAATTTAAATGAATAGAAAATACTTTTTTCTAACTTTTTTTTTGTAGATAAAAACAAAATTTGCATCTAAATTATCACTCTATTTTTCATGAGTAAACTTGTTAAAAATGATAATAATATTAAAATATTAAACTAAGTGTAAATTCATTTTTTTTATATTCACTAATTTTTCGACACGTGAATTGCACGTGATTATCAGTTCAAAAAAATTTAAGCGACGATTTAAATAATAAACTTTGCGTAAAATAATATTGCAAATTCGTCTGTGAATGTTTAATATGAATCATCGTATATATATATATTATTCAAGTGAACTTACGAAGATGGTCAATGTAAAATTATATTAGTTAAATACAATAATGTGTATATTTATTTCAATTTGATGAGGTTCAATCATGTATAGTCGTATCTCACGAATATTACTTTATAGATGATATTTATTGTGTATTTTTGTTGTCATCTAACTGACTATGCTTTGCACGTGTATTCCACTTAATCTGTTTAGATGTCATATGAACATGTGGAGAACAACTACATTTTAATTTTCAGAATTTTGTAAATTATTTTTTATTTAATAAGTTATAACATAATAGTTGACGTCTTTTTATTGGCTCTCATATTTGATATTTCGGTTGACTGTGTACATAATCAAAGATAGTTATTTGACAGTTCATAGCTAACTGAGAAATTTTTTTCTTTTTACTGGAAAAATTGAAAATTAAAAATAAAAAATTATTCTTTCTGTGAAATCATATTCTCACATGTTTATCTTACGCCCAACAAAGATATAGTTCATATAATTGTAAATAATTGAATTTATTCAACCAAATATGATATAATCCCATATGAATATCGTAAAAGAATGAAGAGTGTTTTTTTTTTAAATATTGAAGAATACTAAAGTTGAAAATTGATTCGTATCAACATGTTTATAAGTAAAATTTAATCTAAGGTCTTGAAACACACGAATGAAATTGTCTTTAACATGAGTATCTATCTTTAGCGCGAGTGGGAAGCAACATCATATCTAGTGAAATTTCACAAAGTGAGATTCCGAAAAGATAAAATGTACGCAGATTTTACCTTTTATGATGTTGTCTACGGAAGATTCTTGATCTAGTTGAAACAAACGAAAAAGAGAAACAACATTGAAGAAAACATGACAACCAATAGAAAAATCATACAAATCATACATGCAAGGAACAATAACGTCAATAACATAGTATGATCGCCTAAATATACTTAACAAATAATAATAACTAAAAAAAATATGAGTACAACTATAAAAAGATAAATACGATACTCTAGACCGCCACCAAACCGCGTAAAAAATGATGAGATTTACATAGAAAGGTGACTAAAATCAAAACTAGTAAAAGAAGAGGAACCTAATTGCACATTTTAAACTAAAGAAAAAGGCAGTTCATCTAAAAAAAAAAAAGAAAAATCCCAACTTTTTTCCTCCATTAAAGCACTTGAGACATGTAGAAACCTCACTGGTGAAGTGTGGGATCTTCAAAATAATCCAAGATTTTGAGTTGGGTGTTGTTGAATTTGCGAAATGGAAAGTGGGTTTACAGCAGAAGATCTTTCGACAATTGGAGGAATTGCTACTGTATCACTCTTACATTCTTTCATACCTACACATTGGTTGCCTTTCTCCATCGTTGGCCGTGCTCAGAAATGGACTCTCTCTCGTACTCTTCTTGTCAGTTAGTACCCTACCCACTCTCTTGTTTTTTTTTTTCTGTTTTTGCGCTTTTCTGTACGATTTTGTTGTAGATCTTGAAGATATGTGCTTTGGGTACTTGGAATTAGGTGGTGAAATGAAGAGGAGATTGATAAAGTTTTGATTTTTATGGATTCTTAGATCTTGATGTTGGTATGGGTGTTCTATTGCTTGCTTAGTTCATTTTTTTTGTTTTTTCAAAGTTGTGGATAGGGGCTGGGGAAGGGGATTACGAGGTGGGAAATCGAATGAGGTGGAAGTTCAGGTAGCCAACCAATTGAGCTACTAAGATTTCCTAGTTTTGTGGAGTTTGTTTATGTGATAAAAAAAGCACAAAAATACAAATGAGATCATTTTACAGCATTTTTCACTTTATGATAGTTTGAGCTTTTCTGCAATCAAGCTGGAGGGATTTGCATTTCGAATTTTTGTATTGATAAGTTGTGTTAGCTGCGTTGGTTACTGTCCTTTGGTTATTGCTTTGGTGATTTCTGGTTTTGGAATATGCCTGAGCATCATTGTGGCATTTTGAGACATAAATGGCAAACTGCTTTCTCTTGTGTCCTTCTTGTCAGTTAGTACCTACTGTCTTCTTCTTTTACTTTACATTTTCTTTGCAATTTTTCTTTAGATGTTGAAGACATGTGGTTCCAGGAATTAGGTGTTGAAATGGAGAAGAAATTGATAAAGTCTTGATTTTGATGGGTGATGCCCTATTAAATCTTGATGCTGCAATGGGTGCTATTACTTGCTTAGTTTGTTTATAGTGGAATTTGTCTATGGGACTGCATAAGCACAAAAAGTATATACTGCTGAGATCATTTTACAGCATTTGCACTTACCTCCATGATAGCTAGGATTTTTTCTGCAATCTAGCTAGAGGGATTTGCACCTCGACTTTTTATACGGATAAGTTGTGTTAGCTGCTTTGGTTATTGTCTTCTGATGATTGATTTGGTCATTTCGGGTCTAGGAATTTGGCTGAGCATCATTGTGGCATTTTGAAACTTACATGGAAATATAGATTCTCATTCATTTGGATGTAGAGAAAAACTTGAACTTTGTACAGGAAAGTGATTTAAGCTCCTAAGCTGATAAAAATAACTAAAGAATTAGACCTGAGTTCTTGTAGTAATTATTCCTTCTGTCTAGATAAAAAAGTTGCATCTCTCTCCTTTTTTGATATCCTCTTTGAAGCACACTGGTACGATCTAGTTTATTAAGCTTGCTGATTATTCAGAAGCAGCCCAATATCCAATATGTGCAGTTTCTGAGAAAAAGAAAATCAGGACTTTATAGGGAGAAGATAAGGCCCTAACTGATGATTCTTTTCGGTTGTTAGATCAATTGGGTCTTCTCTCAAGACATATCCATGGGCTGATTTTTATTTTTTATAACAAGTAAGGTTTTCATTGATTATAATAACCCAACTTGGTCGTATACAAGAGACATATCAAAAAATGAGAAACCTACAAACTATGGTTCATCCAATCCTCTAAAAAAGTAGGAAGTTAGGAACTACATGGGTGAACCAAAAGAAAATAAGGGAGAGTGGAGACTACTCCTCAGTTGAGTAAAGCTTATCTCCACCCCTTCAAAAACTTTTTTATTTCTCTCTTTCCAAATGACCCACATTAGAGCAAGAGGAGTAACATTCCACGAGTTGTACCTTCTTCTCCTAGCTCCATTCTCCCAACTTAACATCAACTCCTTCACAGATCTTGGCAGTACCCAAGTGACACAAACCATATAAGCATATCCTCCATAACTTCCGATAGAATGAGAATTACGCAATTATCCTGTTATTTTGAGAGGAATTCCATACTCCATGTTTGTTTCCTATTATATTGCTTGAATTTCTCTCTTTTACAGAACTTCCCTTTCTATTACAAAAAAAGGTGAAGGTTAGTTGTTGCAAACAAAATATAACTTTAAATCAAGGAATATTAGCATGGCCTTGTGCAAATGACATGCACAAATTGTGAAATGGTCCAAAATTTTGTTTACATCCAATCCTTTTTTTCATATTAAAATATGTATATTACTTAAATCAAGGAATGTAGAATTGATTTAGTTGTTGATGCAAACCATAACTATAAGTAGTAAGTTACATAACTTCAATCTAGGGATGGGCTGTGAAAATTTTCTCCAATATTATGTTGTTTTTTAGCAGGTGTGCTGATCTTTTCTTGATCAGGTTGGATGTTTTCCTTGTGTTGGTTTTTGGTAGTCATAGTTTCTTCTGAATCATAGCCAGTGTTTTTTCTTTATTATTCAAGTGTAATAAGCTGCTTCTTAGGTTTAAAACACTACGTGGACAAACATATTCATGTCATAAAATTCACAAGACCTTTGTAAATGATCAATATTGTCCTTTCTCATTTAACCACTAAATAGTATACATATATTCATAAATTTAGCTCAATCTGATGTAGAGATCTGTGTTTAGGTCAACTTTCTGCCCTGTTAATCTAGGTTGTGTCTTTAGTATTAGATACTTTTCTTATTTTATTTTGAAATGATTGAATTTATGAAGATAATTTCTCCACTCAAAGTGCATTTTTCTCTAATCCTAAAAGCATTTGAATTAATTCAAGAGTTTTATGCTCCTTAGTCCTTTCGTCCTACTCCTAACTGTTTGATTACTTAACGTAGTTAGTATTTCAAAAGCCAAGCAATGTCATTTTTGGACGCAATTTTCTCAAATATTTTCTTGAAATTTTTTAATTTCTGAAATTTGTGTTGGTACCACTTCGTGTTGTGTAGGTTTTTCCAGATAAAAGTGTTATCATCTGAAATCAACTTAAGATTAGTCAATTAGACACTAAATTAAGTACTCTTTGTGAATGGACTGAGTACCTCAAAAGCACTAAAATTCGGTTAAAGTGCCTGGATTTAAATTCCTGCATGTAATTCTAATCTGACTGCTCTTGTTACAGCTGCATTTGGAGCAGTATTACATGTAATATCCACTTCGATTCTAGGCATAACAGCAATAACCATTACAAACACAATTGCTGGCGAGGAATCAGTGCACAAACTGGCTTCACTTTTGCTTATAGTCCTTGGTGGTAGTTATATCATCTTGTTTCTTTGCGGAAAGGGTGGTCACAGCCATTCACACAATCAACCCATGGAGAAAATGGCCGTAGCAGGGCTTGTTCTTGTTCCTGCATTGTCTCCTTGTGCAACCACACTCCCTGTGTTTCTTGCTGTTGGAAACTCATCCTCCATGATGGTGCTTGCCATCATAGTTTTGTTATTCAGGTACTTTTGTTTCCAAACTTCACTTTACTCTGTATTTAAGTGGATTACATACTCTTTTTGTTGCATTTTCTTTTGGGATAACATAGGTTACTCTTGAGAAAAGGAATAGAGGCAAAACCACTTGCTGTTATTAGAGAAAAGGATATGGAACAAGGGGGTGGGATGAAGTAGTGGGTTTAGATGGTGCCATGGCAGTAGGCCAGTAGCCTCAAGGGCATGTATGGAGTGAACCATCTACTTTCTTGAAATAATACTATAAAGTTTTAGAGATCCTTGGTCCATTTTAATTCCCGTGGCTTTTGTATCTTACTGAAGTTACTTTGTCAGTAATGTTTAAAGCTCTAGAAACTTATTTTACTGCACATCATTGACTAGTATTTGATGTCATGGAGTGTGAGAAGTGACGACTAGATCTTGTTCATACCCGAGTAGCTGTGCTTCTCTTTATTTGCGGGGGTGCTATTACTTTAGGTTTCTCCTTCATTTTTCGTCCAACCGTAACATTCATCTGGGTCAGCCTGCTGCAAGAGTTGGTTAACTTTCTAATAGTACCTCTGTTTAAATTTTAGATATGGAACTAATTCATTCCAGTCTGCTGTAGTGAACTTTCTTACATTGAATGGAACCCGTCCACGCTAGTTGTATTTGTTGATATCTAAATTGTTCTCAGGAGACGGAGACTTTTTCTATGTAGCTCCATCGTCAAAATGCCCACAAAACTCATTAGAGTTGTCTATTACCAGCTCAGTGCTGGACTTGTTTTGATTTATCCGAATTTCTGGATGCTTAACATAAATTGATACTTCACTTGCAGCACCATAACTGTGATGACCTCACTGGTGGCTCTATCATTTTACGGTGCAAGTCAACTCAAGTTCCACTGGGTGGAACGTTATGACAAGCTCCTCGTCGGTTCAGTGCTAAGCTTGGTTGGTATTTTGACCCTTATCTTTCACGATCACGACCACGAAGGAGGTTCTGCAGGAGGTCATGTGCACAGAAAACTCATTGTGCTATAAAAGGATCATTCTTCAGCCAACAAATCTGTTTCCTGAAGCCTAGTATTCCAGTGCGTATTTACCTTTAAAGGATAGAAAGGGGAGCCTTAGAGCAACGGTAAATTTGTTATAGGTCATGGGTACGAGCTGTGGAATCAACCACTAATGCTTGCGTTAGGGTAGACTGCCTACATTACACCCCTGGTGTACGGCCTCCCTTTTTTTTTATTTACCGCAAGAAAAGCAATGTACAAATACACTTTTTCTTTTGTTCAAGTTGTGCAATTGTGTGCTCAAGTTTATGTCTATTCTGTTCTAACAATTTTTATGTGGCATTTTGCTTCATTTTAATTAGTTTTTATATCTTCTTCTTAAAATTTATTTTTTTGATCTAGTAGTTAATATAGGGTAACACTTAAAAAGGTTATTGAGCTTTAATAGTGAAAATGATCCATCGTGACTTTATCTTTAATTAAAAAGTTTTGAATTTGATCATGAAATCGTGACATTTCGTCCGAAAAGCAAGACTCTTGATGCGAATTTAGATTATTTTGATTTAAAGAAACGAAAAAAGGGCCCACACGAGGTATAAGGAAAGGCTGTATGCAAAAGGTAGGAATAAATTCTAATACCTTAGAAAAACCAAAAATGTTTTTTTTGTTTGGTATATTCCAAAGAAAACTATAACTTGCCTTGCTCATGCCCTTCATCTTTAAACTAAGGTTTGGAATCTTTGTTTGGTTTTTTTTGTGTATATTGGTACCATTTCTATGTTACTACTAATAATATTATTACAAACCTAGCAAATAAGAAATTAATATTAGCCATTAATACTTATTATTAATCCTCTCAAGATTATGGCCAATTCATCATTCATCTTTCTATGCTTCCTTCTAATCTTTAGTGGTATGTTTTTTTTCATTATTATGTAAAATTTATTTGCGAGTCTGTTCGAAGCTGTGAAAGCAGTCACTAAGTATTTGCATTAGGCTGCAGCCCGTTGCTAATACGGGATGCTTTGAGCACCGAGTTGTCTTTTCTTTTCAAGTCTTGATGATATACGCAATATATAGTGTTGCAACTTGCAACAATGATTTTGATTTTTCTTTATGTGTATATTAGGAGTCAAATTAGTTGATTTTTTATACATGTTTCCAGTTTATAATTATGAGAAATTAATTAAGTTTCTAGATTTTATCTACAATGATTTACTAATTTTTTTTTTTTACCATACAATTTGGTTCATTCATACCTTTACATATGATATTGTTTCATATTTATCGTTGATTTTAACAAAGTTCAGTATAGACCAAATGAATTCTACGTGTGTCAACGATATATACGAATATGATATAATATTGAATGATAAAATTAAGATATTTCGTATAGTATATATCATTTTCAACCGATTCTCCCTTTTAATATTTTTTTTTCTTGTTGTTGTTGGACAGGTTCAATAGTTGTACATGCAATGACAGGCACATATGGTATAAATTATGGAAAAATTTCAGATAACATCCCAGCACCTGAAGATGTTTTAAGACTTTTAAGGATGAACAAGATCAAGAACATACGAATCTACGACGCGGATCCTAGGGTTCTGAGAGCCTTTAGTGGTTCTGGTATCGAAATCTCAGTATGTCTTCCTAATGAGTTACTCAAAGAAGTTAGTCTAAATGGTTCAATAGCCCTCGAATGGATACAAGTTAACCTACAACCATACCTCCCTGGTACCTCAATTAGAGGTATCGCGGTTGGAAATGAGATACTAGGTGGTGATACAAGTATATCAGAAGCACTAGTACCCGCGGTTAGGAGTGTATATCGAGCTCTCAGGAGGTTAGGATTGACCAAGACCATCGAGGTTTCGACCCCGCATTCCGAGGCAGTTTTTAGTAGCACATATCCTCCATCAAATGGTACATTTAAAGAAAGTATGATGCCATATTTAGGCCCATTGTTACATTTTTTCAATAGAGTGGGCTCACCTTTTTACATAAATGCATATCCATTTTTAGCCTATAAATTTGACCCTTCTCATATTGATATAAACTATGCTTTATTTCAACCAAATAAAGGGATTGTTGATCCTAAAACTAAATTGCATTATGACAACATGTTTGATGCAATGGTTGATGCAACCTATGTTGCATTAGAGAAATTAGGGTATACGAAAATGCAAGTTATCGTGTCGGAGACCGGTTGGGCATCTAAAGGGGATGACAATGAAGCAGGTGCGGACCCTAAAAACGCCAGGACGTATAATTTTAATTTGCATAAAAGGTTAATGAAGAAGAAAGGTACACCTTATAGGCCCAAAATGTTGGCTAAAGGTTATGTTTTTGCTTTGTTTAATGAGAATTTGAAGCCTGGCCCAACTTCTGAGAGAAACTTTGGATTATTTAAACCTGATGGAAGTATTGCTTATGATATTGGATTTAAAGGACTTATATCTTCTGCACCATCAAAGGTATGTCTTCAACTTTTTTTTTTAATTTACGGTATTCGAAACTTACTGACCTGACTAATCCAAATCCGAGACAGTTAATCTTCAATCTTTCGTAGGGTGACTATATATTGATTCAGTTGAACCTGTAGTATATAGCTCAATTTGGCTTTGTATACGGTCTAGTAAAGGGATAATACCATGAGTTTCTCCAATTTTAATGCTCGAACCTGAATTATTTTGATTTTTTATGGATGGATTCAGGATTAAAACTTGATCCTTAATATAATCGTTAAGATACTTAACATTGAATTTGTTTTTCTCTATTATTATTTTTATGTACTTATATTTATTTTTGTTTTTATTTTCTCAGGATTTTGTACTACAAGGAAGGTTTTGGAGTTCTCAATCTTTAATTATTGTTGTATGTACTATAATTCTGGTTCTTTTTATGTAATTATATAACTTTCAAGAAAATTATAGTTGTGAAATGATCCACATATTCTTAGTTATTATTTTTAAATATTGGAAGAAATTGTTGTCCCAATTTGTATAAAATAGTTGCATTTAATTTAATTTTACTGTTTTTCACCAGTACCTCCTTGATTAGTTTATTGAATATCATTTTACTTTGCTTTTAAAACATAATGGGCTAATAGCATATGGTAATAAATTATAATTATAGCCTGTATACATTGTATGTATATGAACACAAAAGTTATATCTGCTTAACAAATTCCTTGGACAAAGTCTAGTGCGATAAGCTCGATTCGAAAATCGAGAAATGCAATACCGGCCCAAAGCTGCAACCATGTGTCAACCTATGTGTCAACCTATGGACTTTACTCGTTCCGAATCTATTTATACTCAGCTACAATCTATTTCCTTAGGCCCAAGGGCTCCTCGCCCTCGGCTAATCGTCACTTGTCATGAATAGGGTACAATTACCAGTTCTCTGTACTCAAAACACACAGTAAAATACAAACACAAAATGCAGTTTACAAAATTAACTATAAAAGATAATCTGTCATGAAAATGATCTAATTTAAGTACTAATATTTAGCCTTTCTATTAACTATAAACTATATATAATCAAAGGTTTTGCATAAGGAATAATGTCAAGCTAAAACTGTATAATAGCCTAATGAAGCATAGTTTAGTTTCAAAAAACGCATTTAGTCATCAAAAAAGAGGATTTGATTGAGTATCGAAGAGTTCAGGCCAAAATACCATATGAAAGTTGATGGATTGTTATTTATCATTCTTGAAGAGGTGCATATCTTGTCTGGATCTTCGATGGCCTCGTTTCTTCTTTTTCTTGAAGAGGGTGAGTCCTCGCCATCTTGAGGACCAAGAACTCGATATCAAATCAAATACTTATCATTCCATAACAACTTTTGCTCCAATAGCTTTCATCTTGTCAATTATTTGTTCCGCTTCTTTCTTTGATACTCCCTTCTTGAAAACAGCAGGAGTCTTCTCAACTAAGTCTTTCGCTTCCTTGAGTCCCAAATCAGTAGAACTGCGGACCTCTTTGATTATCTTTATCTTTTGAGCTGACTCGTATGACTCTAGTTTAAGTTCAAAAGCAGTTTTCTCCGGTTTCTTTTCCTCCTTAGCTGCTTCTGGTCCCTTCATAGCTGCTGCAAATCCAGCAGCCCCTGCCTTCATAACTCCAACTGTTGGTCGCTCTGTCATGCCTAACCTCTTCATAATAATCGAAGACACTTCTGCAACTTCGACCAGGGTAAGTCCTGATACTTCATCAACGAGCCTCCATACCCTTTCTGATGGAGGACTACGATGCTCAGTAGGATCAAAAGTCACAGGATCATAATCTGCTGGAAGCTTTCTCTGGTTAATCTCTACTTGCTGAGAGAAATGTCGAGTAAAAACAGTTGAGGTAACAAAACAGGAGTCAGCCACATTGGATCGAACAGATCGTTTGAAGAGTACAGCATGCAAATGCTGCCTCAGTCGCGAAAACATCAAATTCATTTTTGAATTCTAGTAACCATCTACTGATTCCTCTGAAAGATCAATCAACAACCTGCAAAAAACAAAAACGCAACTGTATAAGATCTATAGTATAAAATAAATGGTACTCCAAACGCTCTTTGTTTGGTTTCCAAAGGAGAGCCAAACCAAGTTCCTTTTAAGAAGCAACCTCTCCCTTCCCCTGTGAGTTCACCCCTCGGTCTAATGTCTTAACAACCTTTAAGCGCCTCTCCCAGCAGACTCGACATTCAACACCAATCATTACGGTGCAAGATAACATGAAACTCTTAACTCCATTTCTAAATAATGTAGTGACAGCACTTGGGATCATAAAAGATGAATAAAAAAGTTTCAGGTGTGAATGAGAAGCAAGTGTACAAGTGTATATATTATGCAAAACTTCAATGCTTTCATAAATATTAGAATATATATCAAGAAGAAGAAGATTATGGAAGCTCTAATTCCACTTCCTAATTATATAGTGACAACACTTGCACCAAGAAAGCTTAAATAAAAAGTTACAGACATGAATGAGAAGCAAGTTAACAAGTGCCTCAGTTCAATTCCAATCAAACACAAGAACACTAAATGATTTCTTTTCATGTGTCAAAGTTTTGACAGACAGAATTACCCAATATATATACTGGTGTGAGGTAGCATGTCCCGTTGAATTAGTCGATGGACACATAACCTAAACCTGACACCATAATTTGTTTTTAATCGAGTAAATATATCTTCATCCATAAAATAACCACAACGGGCGTATACAAGAGATATACCAAAAGGTACAGAATTTACAAAAAGATATGATTCTCTACAAACTCCACCCAATCGTCTATACAACAAGGGACTTTCTATGAGCACCACAACAAGGGACTTTCTATGAGCACCAAAAGAAAACAAGAGAACAGATTCTACTCCTCGATTGAGAAAAACTCGACTCTACACCTTCAAAAGCTCTCCTATTTCTCTCTCCAAACAACACACATTCGCGCAAGTGAAATCATATTCCAAGCTCTTCCAACTGAACATCAAACTCTCTCATAGTGATTGGCATTGCCCGGATGCCATAATTATCAAAAGAAAAAAGCTAACAAGTGCATAACTGTATGTGCTAATGCACAGCTCTAAAGCTTATTACAATAATAAACAGTGTACATACCAATTTACCACCAAATCACACCCAAACGCAGAGACAAAGAGCATCAGATCCTTAACCAATTGATACAACATATTTTAAGCATAAATTGATTCAATTCATTTTCCATGGAAAAAAAAACAACAGATCAAAGAAAAATGATGAAGCTCACCTGAGTACGGCGAGGACCACGGCGAGTGGCGGCAACCGGCGACTGAGATGTGAACTGTAAAGACTAGGCTTTGTTTCGGAAAATGGAACTTTGGGCTGTCGGTAAGCAAATTGGGCTCAAAGAGCCCCAATTCTAATAGGGGTAGATAAGCCCACAACACATTTTCTCTCACACACACAAAGATTTCGTCTTTCTTTTGTTTTTTTGGCTTTTTGCTCTTTCTTTCACAGTCTTCACTTTCCATACCATTCCTTTCTTATTCTGTCAACAGTATCAACCATCATCATCAGGATTTCAACCATCCTTCAGGTACTGTCCGAACTTCAAGACCCACAAACCCTTTTGTCTATTTTTGTTTGATTTTCCTTTTTGGTGTTGGTTATAACATCCAATTTGTTATAAAGTTTTGAGCTTTATTAGTTGGGTTTCTGTGGGACTGTCTTAACTTCAAGAATCACAACCCCTTTTGTCAATTTTTGTTTGAGTTTCCTTTTTGGGTGTTGGTTATATCATCCAATTTGTTATGAAGTTTTGAGCTTTTTTAGTTGGGTTTCTGTGGGACTGTCTTAACTTCAAGAATTCACACCCTTTTTGGCCTTTTGATGATTGAATTTGTCCCTTTTCTTGATTTTTGTTTAGTTTTCCTTTTTGGGTGTTCTTTATTGCATTCAGTTTCTTATCAAGTTTTGAGCTTTTAGTAGTTGTTGTCACGGGTTGGGGGTGTATTCAATTGTTTAAAGTACTGATCTTTACTTGTTAAGCTTTCTTAATTTGGAGATTACTGATCTAACAGTGTAAATACAAGTGAGCTGGAAAAGTTCTTGAATTCATTCTCTTTTACAATATCAAGTTGAAATTTATGTAGCTAAAGTTGAAGATGAAATTATATTTAGTTATACCTTTTACAAGAATATAACATAATATTTATGCTTAAATGCATTTCAATACAACTTTAAAGGCAAAAATGAGTGGAAAAATATATTATAAGGTTTTTTCCAATTTATGTTAGTAAATTTAAGTGATCAGATTTATTAATATTGTTTTGTTTTTTCATTCGTTATTCAGCATGTGTATTGAAGTTCAACTATTTGGAATTCACTTTCCATTCAGGAAGTAAAAACTTTTTCACTTTCAGGCTCGAACTAGATGTTCGGGTAAGGGAGGAGAAGCCACCGGAATTGCTTTGCCGTAGACAATATTTGACATATTTGTTCTACTTTTGGTATTTTTTATATCTTCTTAATCAAGCGCCGGGAAGAAAATTGCTGAATCCGAGCTGTTGCTACTTGCTTCGCTGTTCCGGTAACTTTTTTTTTTTTTTTTGTAATTATAAAAATTTGAACCTGATTGTCTCTATTGGTTTCAATTGCACAGATTTTACTTGGTTTTGTGATTGCTAACATATAGAATTGATGTTTAGTAGGAATAAAATTTAGGGCATAACTGACCTTTACACAACCTTCTTCTTGGGGGATTGTTGGAGCAACGATAAGGTTGTCTTTGTATTTGACCTACAGATCACAAGTTTGATGCCAAATAAGTACCCTTTGTTAAGAAAGGTAGAAATTTTTAAAAAATTTTAGTTTTCGTCCGTTAGAAATAGGGATATTTTTAGCAAGTGTTTTTTTGTTTGGGAAGTATACAATAACAAATATATCCCGTGAAATTCCCAAGTGAGGTCTAGGGAGGGTAGAATGTATGCTGACCTTTATTACTATCTTGTAGAGGTAGAGGTTGTTTCTGAAGGACCATCGGCTCAAGTGCAATGAATCCAGGTATAGAAAAAGGAGACAATGTAGAGAATATAGCAAATAACAAGGAACAATGCAAAAGTACAATAAATAATCATGTGATAATGAAACACCATAAGCAACAATGATACAAGTGAAAACACAATGTGAAGTACAGTATAATCCCACAAGTGAAGTTTGGGGAGGGTTGGGTGATGTACACAACTTTACATTTCTTGATTGTAACTTCGTAAAAAAAAAACTAGTTTTGGTTAAAAAAATATTCCTGATATTAGATTTAGTTTCTTTGGAATATTTCTGATCTTTTTTTCCTTTAGTTTCTTGAGAATATTTCTGATTTAGATTCACAGCATAGAGTGCCCGTTTCTTAAGTAAGATCGAATCTTAATGAATTGAAGGTTTTAACCTCCTTGAATTGACCTGGTGTTACTTGACTAAATAATTGGTGCTTTAATGCAGAGGATTCAATCAATGACCCATACAATAAATTAGAATGACAGAGAAGATCCAAAGGTGCTGCGAGGTTTGTGGCAATCTATCCTTTGACGATGGCGGTGATGGGTTCTTCTATTGCACTCGTTGCGGCTCTCAAGCAGTTGACATCATGGACACGGGTGTTGATGATGATGACTTATTCAACGTAGATGGGGGTATGTACTCTACTAGTCAGCGCCGTCAATATTGCCAGGTCATTCAACCTGTACCCATATCTCAGGTACAACTCTCTCAGCATTTAGAGACGTTGAAAACCTTTGATGACTACGACGAGCATAATGGAGATGATGGAGTTGGGCCTGCAGTGCCTAGTGATTTTGGATCATCTCAAATTTCTCTGACTTACACAGACTATTATTCAGAGATCCGGTTGAGGTATGTTATGGGGTTACAAGCTATGATCCAAATGCAGTGCAAGACTCTGGTGGAGAAATTTAACGTAAGCCCCCTGATTGTCGGGCTTGCTGGGCCTATTTGGTTAAGACTATTGGCACATGAAAACGTGTTGAGTGATGAGTGGGCAGACGATGTCATCCATGAATCAGAGTCTCAAACTCAAGGTATCATTTTGATTATCTTTATATACACAAGGATGGAAATCGAGATATTTTCATGTTCTTGCTTCTCTAGGATTTGTTTACAATCATTAGTTAGAAGCTGAAGACTAATCAATTATTTTTTAGCCTAACATTGCACGTTCGACTACTATGCTTGTTGTCACTTGCATTCTTTTGAAACACTACTTGTAAAGTGCAAGACTAGTAATTAAGCATATCAACTTGGTTTCTAATGGGCAATCTTGTGTAACGAAAATGAAATTTCTTCTAGGATGTTGGTCCTTCGCTTTTGGTCTAATTTGTATAGCACGAAGGAAAAGATGTTCTGTCCTCTTTTATCTTTGGTTCATGGTAGGTGGCTATATTTTATGAAAAACTTCTGAATCATATATCTGGCTGTCTGGCAAAGTGGGTTTGTTAAGTTTTCTACATGTCTTCAGTGAGAGAAATCAGTTGGTGTGAAACTCTTTGATATTATGCAGGTTGAATTCCCTTTCTGTATTCACCTTTCCCTTTTAGAACCTAATTCCAGTATTTATTTCAGGGGAAATAGAACTTTCTCAGCCGACTGGCAGCCAGAAAACAGAACCTCGCAATTTAAATGGAAAACGGGCAGTAACCATATGGCATAAATCTTTGAGAAACTTGATTCCATTACCTTGTTCTCTGGCGATCTCTTTTCTTGTCTGTCACGTGGCAAGGGAAGCTATCTTGCCAACAGACATATTGAAGTGGACGTTGGAAGGAAAGCTCCCATATTTTGCTGCTTTTCTTGAAATAGAGAAGCAGTTGGGACCTCCTCCAAGGTCCTGCCCTATCAGTACCAGTCGTATGTTCAGGCCTATCAGAACTGTCACCTTGCAAAAGTTAGAGTCCCTAGCTGCCTCCATTGCCAGGAAAATAGGCTTGGAATTGCCTTCAGTGAACTTCCATGCTATAGCTGCCCGTTATCTCAAAAATTTATCGCTTCCTGTTGAGAAAATTCTTCCTCGGGCATGCCAAGTGTATGAGTGGTCTATGCCTCCAGAGTTGTATTTATCAGATAATGACTCCAGGCTGCCTTCTCGTGTTTGCGTGATGTCTATACTGATTGTGACAATGAGGATTCTTTATGACCTGAATGGTGGAAAATGGGAACTGATTTCATCTTGTTCGAATAATTTAGTGTCTGCTGTTGAGAATGGAGCTGGAGAATGTGGTTTCAGTTGCAATGCAAGTGGTGCTGTTGCCGAGGAAGACTCTGCTTCACGTGATTCAGATCATCATGATAGTTCATCAGCTTTGAGTGAAAAATCTAATTCTGATGCTTTGAAACTCTTGAAGATTCTTGAAGAAAAATACAGTGAGCTCAGTGATTCATATGGTAATTGCAAGGCATTCCGTTGATTTTTGGATACGTGTAGATATAGCATGGGGTTATAAGTTGCACCGCTTTGTTACTTGTTGGAATTGTGCTTTTTTTTTTTCTTGTTACTTGTTTGAGTTATGTTTCTTTTCTTGTTTGACAGATTTTTCAAAAGATTTACAATCATATCTGCTGTACTGCAAAAATGTGGTTTTCGCTGGACTAGAACCTGCTTACGACGATCATGAAGAAGAAAAGCTAATAGAAGACTTTTGGAATTTCTATCAAAGCCGTAAGGTATATTACTTTCCCCGTGATTAAGGTTGACTGATACGATCTTGTACCCTCATCCATTAAACCTTGTCAATATGTGATAGGATGGTTGTACCTGTCAACAACCTTCAAAACTCACGACGTCTTTCCTTACTGATATATCTGCATAAAAGTTAGTTTTGCTCTGTTGGACATCTTCAACATGGATAATTAAGGGGAAATCTATATATTTGTTTTATACATCAAGGCTATTCTCTTTTAACTGTTTCTTATTCACAGTTGGAATTTGTTGTGTACTAGTACTAGTTCTGTCAAACATCTCAGAATACTAGTTTGGACGTATGTTGGCTAAGGATATGTTCATTATTTGCTTATTTAGAGAACACCTACCAACTGAAGACTCAACCTGAGACCACATCGAGCTGATTTGTTTTCTTGGTAGGAAAGTGAATTACGGGATTCTTTTAAAAATCACTAAGGTAGATTTTTATTTTTATTTTGGTTTACTGTAGATTTTCATTCATAACCAGAATTGTACGATTACAACCAGAGCAGTATTGGACTACCTGCTCACTCCTCAATCTATCAATCTACTAATCTATCATTAAACAATACAAGTAACTTATCTATATCAGTGATACATTCCAGCTATAGTATATGCTGACACTAAGGATAGGCTTTAAGTTGTTGTAGTGTAGTATGCCACTTTACCCTGT